ATAAGCTACAAAAACGAACTACCATAGGGGAAAGCCGGAAAACCCTAAACCCCCAACCCTGAAGACCCCAAAGCCTAAACGCGGGAACTGGCAACGTGCGCGCTCTCAGGTTCAAGGTCTCGTCACGCAAAGCGACTCTGTGCCGCCTCAGCCGATGTCAGCACAGACGATGTCCACACCTTACGGGTCTAGGGTTTAGGGTTCAGGGTAATTCCTCTGTCTAGTCGCTTTCTGGCGTTGTTCACAGGTGCACAGGTTTTGTTGCTGGAGATAGCAGCTCCCAGCCATTTTTCTAGAGTTTCTATTGTGCAAGTACCTGGCTTCCGTCTGGGTTTCTGAGCCCATGACTGCTAAAGCGTAACCCTGCAACCTCAACCTTAACTCGAAAGCTTCATCTTTCGCTCAGCCTTTTGGATTAAGTTCGGAACTCTGAAGGGCAATTCTTGCGGTTCTTCCGACTGGCTGCGGATCAGGCTTGAAGATTTCAGGGAGTATAGGCTTTGGGCTTTGGTGTTGTTTTTCTTTTGCCCTTTTTTGTGAGGTGGAGTGGGGAAGGGTGCTTAGAAGCCAGCAGATTGGCAGTTAAACAAGCCTGCGTTCGTGATCTTCGACCGCGGTTGCAGGTTGGCTGCACCGAAAAACGCTCAACCCCTAAGCCCTGAACCCGAAACCCTAAAGCCTAATCCCTAAACCCTGAACCCCTAAACCCTAAACCCTGAACCCTAAGCCCCTAAACCGTGAACCCTGAACCCTGGCAGAAGATATCGAGCCTACCGTTTCGTGTGTTGGGCTGCTGGGAAAAGACCACTTGGGAGGTTTGTCGGTTGTAGGGTTTAGGGTTTAGGGGTTTAGGGTTTAGGGTTTAGGGCTTGTCGGCTGTATGCTGTTTTAGGGAGTCTCTATGTCCAACAATATGTGTACAATCATAGTATAAGACAGTATATAAGCTCACAGATTATACTTCGTGGGTATGGGGACGCCGGTGCTTGATTCGGGGCTGGCACCCTGACAAAGAGCCGGATTCCTCGAAGGGTTTAGGGTTTAGGGCCGGAATGACTAGTAACTAGAATAAGATGTTAGGAGGAATATCATAGTGTGGTTAAATAAGGACTGTCTGGAGATACGAGTAACATACTGATGCTAATACTAATACTTGCGACCGCTATGTTCACGCCCTGTAAGCAAAGCCCAATCAGACGGTTCAGGTTGTACCTAGGCCCGCCAAGACATTCCTAGTGATTGTGGTTAAAGTTGCGCTTGTGGCGGCCATGCTAAGATCGGGATATCATCCCCAAGCCCTAAGCCCTAAACCCCTAAACCCTAAACCCTTCCTCTCAACCCTCCTTCTCGAAAACCACAAGGCCTTTGTCCTCGCGAGCTTTATCGCCTCAGCCTTTAGCAACGGCTCCGTTGTCCATGTCGCCCATGTCGCCGCATGCCAAGAACTTGGTAAGGACTAGGACTGGGACCCAGGATAAATTTCCGTTGATGTTTGAGGCACGGCGGAATTTGGCATACTCCATAATTCAGGGAGTCTAGAGTCTCTGGGCCCTAATCTAATGGGCTCAGGATCGCAGGTTGACGGCCTCCAGTTTCTGCGCAACACCTAAAACAATGTAGTGTTCCTTTGAGGGTTCCTATAAGTGTTCTAGGATAAGGGTAGTGCAGCGATTTAGGGTTTGGGCTTAGGAGTCTTTCAGTTACCATAGCTCACAGAAGGCTTGCCCCCCGAAGCACACTGTTGTTGCCTTCGTCAGCTAGTTTGAGATGGTCACTTCTACACCATTTCAGGGTTACATTCTTCATAGTAAAAAAACGCGTATCACTTCCGTCTTATGGTAACTTTTCGTGGACAACGACCCAATCTGAAACCAAAAGCCCGCGGCCCCCATCCTAAACCCGTAAACCCTAAACCCTAAACCTGAGCCCGAAAGCCGCAGTTCTGAGGACACCCTAGGGTTTAGGGTTTAGGGTTTAGGGTTTAGGGTTTAGGGTTTAGGGTTGATAAACCTCTAAAACCTAAACTCTCTCTAAACGCCCTGAAGACCCAAAACCCTAAAGCTTTAAAACTCAATTCCGCAAGCCCAAAGACCCCAAACCCTAATCTTTGTGGGAGCCTAGGGTGCAGGGTTTAGAAACCTAGTTCCCTGATCCCCACATTTCTATTCTAGAATTGCTACCATACAGTAGCATACTCTTATTTCGTAGAGTATTCGTATAGACACCTTAAAAGAGCCCCGCAAAGTAAGTCTTAAAGGATTCCTTAACCAATCTTAGGCTTGGGGCTCCTTCCTCCTCCGGGGTGCCGTCGGTGACGCGGCTGCTGGCGACTGAGAGGGCTGGACGTCTGGGGTTTAGGGGTTGGGCTTTAGAGTTTAGAGTTTGGCATTTAGGGTTTAGTTTGTGGTTTTAGAGTTTGGGGTTGAGGGTTTGGGCTTAGCTATCATTATGAGGTTTTGGGTGGCATATTATGCATTCTACATCTTCATCATCAGCACCCTATGGTTAAGAAACCACGATAGCACAACACAGGAGCCGCATGGGAGAACATAGACAGGGAAGGTGTACGATTTTAGGCAAAACTTGGTAATGTGGCCGTTTACAGAGGATTTTGCGTTTTGGGCATTAGGGCCATAAAGGTGTGCATAGGATATTTCGGTATGGGGATGAGGGGCGGAGCGGATTTGAGACTGTTTACAGCATGCGACCTTCTTGGTTTGTTCGTTGGACTCCTTCTTCGTTTCATGCGACAAGAACTTTAGGGTTTAGGGTTTAGGGAACCGCTTCGGCGGATCCGCACCCTTTGCGGAGCTTCAGATACAGATGAGAAGACCACTCCCTTCCTCATCCTTGTGATTGTAACAGTCCGGTAGAGGGCTAGTCTCACGTTGCGACCTGAAGGAGCCAGGGTTGTCAGATCGTCTTTTCGTCTATATTATGGAGGATGCTCAAGTTGGGTCTTAGGGCTTTGGGCTTAGAGTCGGAGCAGTGCTGCAGATTTTACACGCCCATCTAGAAGTGCAGGGTCCGAGATTGTGAAGACCCCTGTTGGAGCTCCTGAATGATTGGCTCACTCCACCCTGCAAGGATGACTACAGCAGTCTATTAGACTCTATTATGTTAGTTATTGCGTTGTTTACTATGGCTGCATTACCGGGTTCTTGTTAAATTGTATAATATAGGGGCCTTAATAATTAGAATGGGGTTTGGGGGTGTCTTATATAATTATAGCAGCGTCCCTCCCAGAAAAAAACCCTGTTCTAATTTTTATAAGTACCCTACATAAGCGTCTTCTTACGCATTTAATGTTTTGCCCCCTTTCGCTGTACAGTTCACCCCAAACCCTAAACCCTAAAGCCCTAAACCCCAAACCCCTAAACCCTAGATCCTGAATCCCAAAACCGTAAATCCAAAACTCCAAAACCCTAAAACCCTAAACCCCAAAACCCTAAACCCTAAAACCCTAAACCCTAAAACCCTAAACCCTAAACCCTCATCGAAGGCCACCGGCTGTCGGCACCATGGGCGGACTGGGCACCGGCGCGTGGGCGAATAGCCCCAGCGTCGTGACGGCCTGCAACAGTCCACGGCAGCCTGGCTCAAGGAGTTTAGGGGCCAAGGGTTTAGGGTTTAGGGGAAGGTTGGGCTTATCAACCTCGGGCGATCGACTGCGTAATTTGACGACTTTTAACAGCGCACAAGCGATGGTCGCAGTGATACCAGCACCATCTAGGTTCGCCACAAAGAAATCGTAGCACAATCAGAAGCGTTCATCCAATTTCATCCACGACAGCAAGGTGGTCATCACCGGCACGAATGCCTACACAAGCAACGACAAACAGAACTGCACCGTTCACGTCTTTCGTTTTTTTGAAAAATGTCGTAGGACTTGTAGTTACCACTGAGTTCAGCCTGTTGATGCATCCCACACTCTTAAAAAGGAACCCTCGAATTGAAGCTTTAAATGCCGGGGCCTAGAGCCGCCTAATAGGGGCCTTAGTAATTACCTATACTATTTCTGTGGTATCCTTAATACAATTATAGTTTTGTATACACCGAAACCCTGTTCTAATTATTTAGGATCCTACAGTAGAATTGTCGTCTCGACTTCCAACAGCCCTTGCCCGCAAACAGTAGACGGTGCTGGGATCCCTTGCCAGTTTAGCCTGTTAATGCTTGACCGAAGAGAGAACAGGTGCTTCAATGAATAGATGGTAGAAATAATGCCACTTTATGCTCCTGGTGAATCAAGGTACGATGAATCTAAACGGGGGCCCACATATTGTCCCGAACGCCGAATAGAAGCTATCGTGCGGTCTAGCGTTCGGAGCTCTCGGGGTTTGCAACTTCGGTCTAGATTCGTTTTCAGGTGTCCGATTCAACAAGGGCGGCTTTTTTGGGACCAGGGCTTGGGGTCAGGTGAGCAGTAGCAGCAGGACGCGCACCAAGAACCAGGTATTCTGCTTTGTGCAGCAGTGGCATGCGTATGACTGCAGTTTCACGCCCAGTGCTATGGGAAACCCGAGACCCTAAACCCAACGCCCTAAAGCGGTAGCGCATGGTGACGTGCAGCTATGAATGGCCGCCTGCCAGTTTAAGCAATTTCGTGGCTTCAGCGGCATCTCCCCTCGAGCAGCTCATATTTACAGGTCGGGGTGTATGGCTTCGATTGTAGTGGGTGTGATAATTTGTATGTGTGTATATATATATACATATATACATACCATATATATATATATATATGTGGCACTCTGTTCGGTTATGTTCTGTTCCATTCTATTCCACTATATACAATGAAGTATACAAAGTTGGACTAAACGGAGTTGATACATGGATAAAAGGATGATTCATGCTGGGATCAGCGCGCTGCGCTGTACTTCTAGGGGCATCAAGCTGATCGCGTCCCAACTTTTCAGGCCTCTATCCTAAGCTACCATAACCTGTTAGTTTAGATCCTGACAAAAATCTGTAGTTTTGGGGTACTCTAGAATTGCAGCTGGATGGCTCCAAAGACGAAGAAGACGATCAGCAAAAAGCCCGCAGGCAAAAAGGTCGCCCAAGAGCCTCCGGCCGCCACTTCCGGGAAGCCCCGAATGTTCGGCATGTCTTTCGCCAGGATCTACCCACTTTATGTGCAGAAGGTCGAGAAGAAGGGGCGTACCTCGGCTTTTCAGTGAACCCCTGTTCTTCCTTTTTGTAGTCTAAGGTTCCCTATAAACCTACCCCAAATCAGACAGGGCGGCCCTTTTTTTACTCCTAGGTTATTGGAGATCCGAGGTAAGAAGACCGACGTGGACCAAGCTATTTGCTGGCTGACGGGCTACACCCCCCAGAAGCTGAAGGAGCAGATCAAGCTCGAGAAGGATGTTGAGACCTTCTTTAACCAGGCACCACGGCCCAACCCGAAGGCCAGCAAGGTCACAGGGACTGTCTGTGGCGTCGTGATTGAAGAAATCAAGGACCTAGTGATGCGCAAAGTTCGCGTTCTGGACAAGCTCGTGGATGAGATTGCCAAGGGCAAGCCCATGGATGAAGTCCTGCGAAAGTAGTGGCGGCGAAGCCACCTGATAGTTGGCCGATTAACCCTGATGCCCAAGACCGTAAGCGTTACATCTAGTTGTGTCTCACGGTTTCCAACGATCGATTCGGCAGCGAGCGCCCAGACAAGAAGAGCATTGCAAATCCCTGCAGGGCACCTGGTCTGGGAGCTTGGGGGGAGTGGGAGAATGCCCCAGACTTACCTACAGTCTCCATTGTAGTTCCTTTTTTTTGGCTTAACCAACTATATATTGAGGATTTTACAAGGTGTCCCCCAAAAGGAACTACAATGGAAACTACAGGTACAGTTTCAAAACCAGGCTCCTACAGGCCTGTAGCCCCTCGCCAGCATCGGCAGCATGTTGATGTGGTCTCCAGACAAGTTTCACAATAGATGTACATGTCAGCACCTACTTAGTTAGTGCTACATAATCTTTTGATGATTGTATCGCCCAAGTAGTATTTTGCGACCTTCTATATAGCGGGCTTCCTTGTTTGACTTTTTTTTCTCGGCTCTGGTCCAGGATCACTCGTGGGAACGGGTTCGGGTGCGGGTCAAGGGTTTCTGGTAAACTAGAAGATGTGAGGGCTGTTGATGGGGTTCTTTAGTACACCTGCAGTCTCCATTGTAATTCTTTCTTCTGATTTGACCAGTTTTGTAAGTTGGATCCTACAAGGCTGCCAAGCCAGGAAGTACAATGGAGACAAAAGGTTTTTCAGGTAGTCCAGAGCCGAAGCACCGAGATATTGCCCAGCTCATGGTGGCTAAAGGATAGCCCGGCTTAGACCCTAAACCCATAACCCCATACACCCTAAACCCTAAGCCCCATAAACCCGAAACCCCATAACCCCGTAAACCCTAAACCCCTAAACCCTAAACCCTAAGCCCTAAACCGTGCTTAGACAGAGATTCGGTTGGCAAGCAAGTGGAACAAAGCTCGCGCTTAGTAGGGTTTTGGGTTCAGGGCGGACCCGGGCCGTAAAGAACCTACCTTTAAGGGCTCCTTATGATGGCTTGTATAGATCATGTCCTTAAAAAGGTACGTTCTATTGAGGGTTCCGTTACTTATCTGGTTTCTAAACATATACTGTCGTTTAACAGGTAGGTTCTATTTAGGGTTCCTTATTCTGGTTTCTAAACATATAATGTCCTTGCAAAAGCTAGGTTCTTCGGGTCTAGGTAGGGTATAGACGATCGCTGGACTCCTCCATGAAGGCTCCAAGGGTTTAGGGTTTTAGGGTTTAGGATTTCGGGTTTAGGGTTTCAGGGTTTTAGGGTTTAGGGTTGTAGGGTTTAGGGTTTAGGGTTGTAGGGTTTAGGGTTTTAGGGTTTAGGGTTTAGGGTTTAGGGTTTAGGGTCTTGAACCCCAACCTAAAGCGAACCTCGCAGAACCCCGGGCCGGACCTTACGTTGCTCGTGAAGCCTTTGCAATGTTACTGCACTCAAGGTTTGTTTAAACCCTATATGACGATCATACTTGCTATACATACATATATATATATATATATATGTGTACAGACTTAAGCCTCTATGATGATAAGATTTGCTATTTCATAATTATCCAATGACCCCTCTTTGCATGTTCACTCGCAAACCTTTAAAAAGCCTAAAGCCTGAAGCCTAAAACCTCAACCCTACACCCCGCACCCACACCCCGGCAAGCTCAGGCAGTGTATGACGCCGGTCATTTGAACCGTTGGGCCTATGGGACCTAGACTTGAGGGATTCGATGGTTTTGTCGTATGAGGGTTGAGGGCTTAGGGGGCGCAGGGTGTAGGGTTTAGAGTGTAGGGTTTAGGGGTTTAGGGGTTTAGGGTTCCTTCAAGCGTTACTGTAAGGGTTCCTACATGTTGGGGGTTCAGGGTTTCGTCAGGGTTAGTCATATAGTAGCCTTGATAATTGGTAATGCTATTGTTTAGGGCTCCTTCTTATTATAACCATAGCACACTAAACCCTAAACTCCTTAACCGCTGAACCCTAAACCCTAACCCCCAGCACCGACAAAAAATCCACTTGTGGACGCCCGTACATAGACCCCTGCTTAGTAAACCCTCGGTCTTTCACTGACCCCTTGGAGAAGGACCCGGATTAGGGTTTAGGGTTGCGGGTTTAGGGAGTAGGGTTTAGGGCTTACCTAAAGAACCCAAAACCTACTTTTTTGTAGGGTCCCTATAAATCCCATATTAGGGTTTATAATAGGAACCTACAAAAAAGTGGGTTTGGGGTGCTTAAGGTAGGGCTTAGGGTTTAGGGCGAGGGTTTATTCGGAGTCCACATGATCTGACAGGCTATAATGGTGCGGGGTCCCAGGCTCTGGACTACTCCCTGTGAGCCCTAGGTGCTTTATTATGGCTCCTAGGGTTGGAGGTTTAGGGTTTGGCGTTTGGGGTTTGAGGTTTAAGGCTTGGGGTTTAGGGTTTGAGGTTTAGGGTTGAGGGTTTGAGGTTTAAGGTTTAGGGTTTAGGGTTTGAGGTTCAGGGCTTCGGGTTTGGGGTTTAAAGTTTAGGGTTTAGGGTTTAAGGTTTCGGGTTTCGTAGGGCGCCAGGTAGCCCGTCACAGAAGAAAACTGCAAAGAATAAGCACATGGCCTAAATAACTACCGATACTATTTTGGGGGTTCCTCGTTATAATTATAGTATAGGGAGCCCCAGTTCTAATTATTAAGGCCTGGCGTTTAGGCTTTAGGGTTTCTGTTGCGACTTTTAAGTCGCTCCATGTATTAGAAAATTGAGAGAAGCGTACAGCAAAGCCAAGGTTAGGGTTTAGGGTTTAGGGTTTAGGGGTTTAGGGTTTAGGGGTTTAGGGTTTAGGGGTTTAGGGTTTAGGGTTTGCGACAGCTAAGAATCGAAACCCTCAGATGTTGTTTGGCGGGTAATCACAACTCGTCGAAGTGTATATAGCCGAGCAAGTCAGGCACTTCAACACCGGTGGCTAGCTTTCCCAGATCATCATCAGAGTGTACCGAATTGTTGGATGGCCTTGGTGTTCGCCTGTCATTGCCCAGCGACGGTTGTGGAGTTTCACCCTGGACAAGCATTTGCGCTTTAAGGGTGGGGCAAGACAACAAACACCCATAGTCATCGTCATCATTGCCACCGCACACAGAGTCTAAAACCATAGGAGGATGGTGCTCGAACGGCTTACCCATAGGCCCCATAGTAGTTCCTGTTTGGGGTTCATATTTATAGAATCCTATAAGGTAGTCCCAAAAAGGAACTACTATCGGGCCTATGGGTATTATGTTCAAATTTATTTTAGGCTCATGGTTCGCAGGTCTTTACAGTCTAGCGCAGGTTCCGTCAGCGTTTGGAGACTCCGCAATTCTTGTCGCCCTACGTGAGGGTTATCATGGGTCATGGGTCTTCCTACAGTATGGGAGCACACCAATGTAGGGGCCTTAATAATCAGAACGGGGTTTTGGGGTATATTATACTTTAATCGTAATAAGGAACCCTCAAAAAGGATTAGTACTTGTTTAGGCCCCTATATTACTTATCATTACTTGCATAGGAGGCCCTGCCTTCGGGAACCATCTTTTCACGGAGGGCTCCGAGCAGCTTTCAAAACTTGGTTTCCACCCACAAACACAGAATTAGGGTTTAGGGTTTAGGGTTTAGGGTTAGGCTTCAGCGCAGATGCTGCATGTCCGGAAGGCAATCGGTGTGATTGCGAGGCAGCGCCGCGGCGGCGCGTTAACGAGTAGCGTGGGGGTTAAAACACCATGCTGCGGTTTGGGCACAGTAAACCCTAAACTCCTAAACCATAGGCTTTGCAGGTGGAACCCCTAACCCCTAAACCCTAAACCCTAAACCCCGAAACCCGAAAGGGTTTATGGACCCTAGGAGCTGTGCATCCATCCCCGGATGCTCGACAACTCGGAGTTTCCCGTGTTGAACCCTCGGCTTCACGCGGGAAGTGACAGCAGTCCCTTCATCCCACCCGATATTACGGTTTAGGGTTTACCGTTTAGGACGATCTGAAATATCATGTAGCTACATATATGTATACACACATACGTACACGTGGGAGTGTATGTGTGTGTGATGTATGTAAGCAAGCAAGTAAGTAAGCAAGTAGATTCCAGTAAATAGGACGTAGGTAGGTAGGTAGGTAGGTAGGTAGGTAGGTAGGTAGGTAGGTAGGTAGGTCGGTAGGTCGGTAGGTCGGTGGGTCGGTCGGTCGGTCGGTAGGTAGGTAGGTAGGTAGGTAGGGAGGCAGGAAGGTAGGTAGGTAGGTACGTAGGAAGG